CAGACAACATTCTGGTGTGTTTCCATTTCACTGGTTAATTTTGGAAATAGATCATTAGGTCTTTCTTCTTAGTCTATCTTAGTTCAGAAGCTCTACTAGAACATGTCCACAAGAGGTAACCCTGGTATTATTTGAAATAATCCACATAAGTTTACCACAGCAACATAAACTGCCAGATGAGTGGTGGGTATTTATTTGTTGTTGTGTACCACTGAGTTGGTTCTGACTCATAGTGACCCTATATAGTTTCCAAGTGCACCTGGTGGGTTTGAACTGCCAACTCTGTGGTTAGTAGCTCACTGCTTATCCTACAGTGTCACACCAGGGCTCACGGTATATATATATATATATCCAGAAATAAAGGATGTGCAGAATTGACAGATCTGAAAACATATTGCCTATTTTGGGGCCTTTTCTTACTTATCTTGTCTAATATCTAAGAGACTAGAATCTAGAAATATTTCAGGTGGTTCTTATCTTAACTTTATGAGACATAATGAAGCCCTCGTGGTGTTTAATTAAGCATGTGGCTGCTAATCAAATGGTTGGCAGTCAAACCCACCAAATGCTCCACAGAGAAAGATGTGGCAATCTTCTGGAAAGATTACAGCCTTCCCATAAGAAACTCTGTAAGGAAGTTCTATTCCGTCCTATAAGATCACTATGAATTTGAACTGACTCAATGACAGAGGTTTTTGTTTTGTTTTGTTTAAATAGTGTCCACCACTTAACAACAGACTCCTAATATGGTACTGTAGGATTAGCACTGGACTGTGAACCACTAGGTTGGCAGTTCAAACCCACCAGCTGCTCCTCGGAAACCACATACAGGGTCACTATGAGTTGGAACCGACTTGATGGGACTTAACAATTTAACAATTGTTTGACCTAGAAAAGTTGCTTAACTTCTTTAAATTTCAGTTTCCTATTTTTTAAAATAGGGATAATAATCATATATATTTCATGATATCATTATGGTGTGGTGCTGTAAAGTAAGTACTAGACTACTACTGACTGCAAGGTCAGTGGTTCAAATCCACCAGTCATTCCCTGGAGACTTTACACAGGGTTGATGTGAGGCAAAATCGACTTACCACTTAATAACAACACTTCATGTAGAGTGTAAATAAAACCCAGTATGATATTGTGTTGAGTGCTGTCAAGTCAGTTGTGACAGTGACCTTATAAAGAATTTCTGAGGATCAGCTGGTGGGTTTGAACCACCAATACTGTGGTTAGCAGTCTAGTGCTTATCCTAAAATGCTATACCAGGACCCCAAAACACAGTACAGTAGCTGACATGTAATAAATGTTCAATTTTATTGTTGTTGTTAAGTGCCAATGAGTCACTTCCGACTCATAGCAACCCCATATAGGATTTCCAAGGAGCAGCTGGTGGATTTGAATTGTCAAACTTGCAGTTAGCATTCGAGCTATATAACAAGTAGTTATTATCTTCACGTCACTCAGCAACAACAAAATTATCTTTACAAATGAGGAAGATATTTCCAGTCAATTTTTAGTGATTTTACTGTATCCTCTAATGTTACCATTTTCTCTCCAACTAAAAACTTTAGGGATTTAAATATGGTAGTTAGTAAGTGACTTTAACTTATAAAGACAAAAGGACCTTTTCAAAAGTCACTATTTATAGACTATCCAAGTATGTACTAGAAAAGGTAGCAAAAAACTTCAGGATTTATACATTTGAGAGTTTATAAAGCGAAAACCTATGATTTTACAGCCTCATGAAGATCAGGCCATATTTTTTCTTGTCCAGAAAACATAAACTCTCACTTCTAAAAATATATCAGGTTTTCTTCATGAAGAAGCCATCTTGCAACAAAATACCCTATTATCATTGAAGAGTACCCTATTATCATACTGAACCAGCATATCATGAACAAACTATAAAAATGCAGTGGCATATGAGCCATGAAAAAAGATTCTAGAAAAATGTAGAGGTTTTCCTCTGGTTTGAATTATGAGATTTCTCTTTTGTAACTATTGTAAATACTCCCATATACATGATGTTTTAAGCTGGTTCCGACCCACAGTAATCCTGTTAGGGTTTCCGAGTAGCAGCTGCTGAGCATGAACCTCTGACGTTGTGGTTCAAACTGACTTTGCATTCCAGTACATTAACCCGCAGCGACCTACTAGGACTCCATACATGACAACGCTTCCTTTAAAAAGCTATAAATATCCTTTTAATAAAAAAATTTTTTTAATCACTATATATTTGCTTCCTTTAGAACAGAAAACACATTTATTTTGTTGAAGAATCACATTGGTTAATGAAATACTTAAGAAAAGTATACTTTTTATTCTCGTTTTTATATTTAAATCAATTCCAGTTTTTAAAAGGTATTATGAAAGAAGTGGAAGTCACAGCAGCCAACCCAGACTAGCCTAAAAACCAGGGCCACAAATTCAAGGAACCTACTTGCTATGAATTTAATGAACTTAAGGACCACATAAGCTATGAATTTTGACTTAATGTGAGACAAGAATTCCACTGGTGTTGCTAAGTACCGACCACCAGTTCTGACTCAGTGACCCTGTGTGTAGTTTCCGAGGCTGTACATCGTTACTGGAGCAGACAGCTAGTAGGCTCAAACCAAAAACCTGTGGTTTTCAGTCCAGTGCTTATCCTCCAGAGTCACACTGCTCCACAGTCTCAGAGTGGGCTTATATAACCACACACAAAAAATAGAAGGGTATGGGAGAACAGAAGGTATGACATAAAAATCTTGCAAATCTATGAACTTTATCATTGAATCACTTTGCTTAACGTGATTTAAGAAAATCAGAAAACCATTTTAGAGCTAGATCAAATAGGACAGTTTCTCTAACTGAATAACTAAATTCATTATTAAAAAGCACAAAAAAGAAGCTATCTAAAGAGTGAGTTCTTTTGTTCTCACACTCTTCATATATGTTGTTGTTAAGTGCAATTGAGTTGGTTCCGATCTGTACAGGAACTTCGAGGAGCAGAAGGGCGGCTTGAACTGCCAACCTTGCAGTTACCAATCCAGTGCTTACCCTATAATGCCACACCAGGACTCCCTTCATACACTGCAAATAAGTTTACTTTATATATTACATCCTTTCCATGCTAAAGTAAAATCAGCAGGCTAAAAGCCTTTGAATAATTTTGTTGTTGTTAAGTATTGCCAAGTCGGTTCCAACTCATAGCGACCCTATATGGCTTCCGAGGAGTAGCTGGTGAGTGCTTATCCTCCAATGCCACACCAGTATTTTAGGACTACAAAAATGATTATTTAGAAAAAATTACAGGGAAAAATTTAGGTAGGCAATGCAATTTAGTGAAGACCCTAGTTAAGAGAAAGTCAAAGAGATAAAGAAACTTCCCATCTTAGTTTTGTTGTTAAGTGTCTTGGAGTTAGTTCTGACTCATAGCAGCTGTATAGGGTTTCCAAGAAGCACCTGGTGGGTTTAAACTGCCAACCTTGCAGTTCAAACTGATTTTGAGTTCCAATGCCTATCCTACAGTGCTATATACCGGACTCCACGTAAGTGTTAGCTTAAAATAAAAAAACCTCTAGCGATTTTACTTGACACAAGGATTTGGAGGGGGAGGATATATGAAAAAGTATAAATGAGTTGCAAATCAAAGGAACACAAAAGATAATGAGAAGTTAAAAAAAAAGAGTATTTTAACCTATATATGCTTGCATTGGAGCCCTGGTGTGGCACTGTGGGTTAATGCGCCACACTGCCAAGTAGTTTGAACTGCAAGGTTGGAGGTTCAAGCTCACTAGCTGCTCCTTGGAAACCGTATACAGGGTCGCTATGGGTCGGAATCGACTCAATGGCACTTAACAACAACAACAATGCTTATACGGGGAAGCCTGGTGTGGTAATGTAGAATAAGAACTAAACTGTGACTCACAGGTCAGCGGTTCACACCCATCAGCGGCTCCTCGGAAATGCTGTATAGGGTCCCTATGAGTCAGAATCGGATTCTACAGCATTTAACAACAACAAGCTTGAATTTAAAAGATTAACACTTTGAGAAGATATATAGATTGATTCCATAAGTTGTACAGTCCTCCGGAAAGATATAAGTGAAAAAGGCCCACAAAAATTAGTACCTCTCATCCCCAATAGCACATCTGTTTCTATTCAGAATAAGCATATTAATTTTAACCTATAAAACAATTTATATTCTTTACAGAAGAATGATTTCCATCCTTATGAAAGGAAAACATAGTGAAATGACATGATTATTTTACTCATTAAGATATTGTTAGGGAATTCTCAAGCTCTTTTACCTAACTCAAAACCTGCAGTTATACCAAAATGTAATAGTTAAACATACATGCGGAAATGGCCCTGTAATTAAGGTAATTGCTGGTACCAAGTGTTTTTCTAAGTTCTGTAATAAAACAGTCTCTCAGACATTTAATGGTATGTCATTTGGTAAATGAAAGTTTCTATAAAGTGAGAGCAGTAAGAAGACCTGAAAATTATGCTAGTGAATAGTCTGGCTGAAAGAAATAAAAATACGGATCATGTTGGTCCAACACTAATTTTATTTTAAGTTACTACAGAGCTGAATAAAACACTGATACCACTACACAAAAATTTATTGAGTTGGCACTAGGCATAGTATGATGTCAGCCACCAATATCACCATCCACATTCCCAAATAGCACGGACATTTTAATTCTTGAAAGTACCAGACTTCAAGCCTAAAGTTACTATAAAAACAAAAACCTTAGCCATAAGGCATTATTAAATATCTATGAGTTTAGTTTGGCACAGCTTGGGCTCAAATTAGACTAGCACTTTACCAAATTCAGTAAAAAACATGGAAAAAAGAAAACTTAAAAATATTCGCTTTTGAAATGCGTTACATTCTTCACCACGTAGAATGTTTCACATACAAGCTAAGTTTTAAGTAATACCACAACGCGCAAAATGTAGACTGACAGGAAACAAAGAAACACATGCACACCAACACAAGTCTTTACCTTCATAGCATGAATTTCTTCAAGTAATCGTTGTGCCCGTCTTTGGTTTTTTAACAATGCATCCTCAGTACCCCTGCAAAAAAGTATTTAGCCAAAGACTACATTAAATTTAGACTCATATCTTATAAGCAGTTTACTGCCTTTAGAAATACACAGCACATTTCTTTACAACAATGTCAATCTGGACACCTCTCCAAAAAGATCTATACACCTCAATTTCACAAACTCAAGTGTTTTAAACCAACAACAATGAGCACTGTCCTGGCATTAAAATAATGACTGCTACTACTGGAAGATAATTTGTTTTCCATCATTCATTAATGATAATACCAATAATACTTTTATAATTAGAAAGACAACATACGTAAAGATTTTGTACGTATTCATGCCTGTTGTTGTTAAGTGCAGTCAAGTTGGTTTCAATCCATAGCATAAGGTTTCTGATAAGCAGCTGGTGAGGTTGAACCACTAACATTGCAGTTCAAACTGACCTTGAGGTCAAGTGCTTATCCTACAGTGCCATACCAGGACTCCTGCCTAAAGTAATAAAAATCAAAAGCCCACTGTTCCAAGATAGAACTACTCCATAGGGTTTACTGGAATATAAATCTTTATGGAAGAAGACAGTCTCATCTTTCTCCTGAGGGGCAACTGGTGCTGCCAAACTTACAGTTAGAAGCCCATTACTTAACCCACAGTGCCACCAGGTTCCTTGCTTAAAGTAATAAGATAATGAATTCAAAGTGTTATCGTTGTTGCTGTTGTTGTAGTTGTTGTTAAGTGCCGTC